ACCAGATACACTATCCATGAAGCAAGACCTGTGTGTGCTGTGTATATGGTTTAAGCACACTGTCCAGTTTCAGAGAGCTAACAATCTAAACATAACACTTGCCATTCCCTCACAACAGGAAAATACAGATGATAAACACAGAGAATGGATAAAAGAGAAAACAAGACTACCTTGGTCAGTCTGACCAACCATTAGCCATAGATCATCAGTTGCATAAATACTATTTTGCTTACTTAAAAACTCATCCACTTTCTAACTTTAGGAGACACAGCAGAGTACCCTTTTTGTGTTCTGTAACACAAAGCCAAGCAGAATTCCAGAACAGTATATTTATGGCACGTATAAAATGACTGATCTAAAAATAAAACAACCCCTTTTATGAAGGATTAGGTTATTTCTCTTTCCTTCCTTCCTTTGAGCAACTTCCCTCCTCATCAGTTTCTCACAATACACTTTCACATCACCTCCAATAACCCTGTATAAATCACGATCTTTCCTCATCTACAGCATCTGAAGTTCCCCATGCACTTTTTAAAACCTGGGATGACAACCCAGGATTTTAGCAGATGACTAACTGCTACTACTTCTCTTTTGACTTTATTTAGACAAGAGGTTCAGATGACAGCTTCCCACAGGCTTTCACAGAATCACAGAACAGCTGAGGTTGAAAAGAACCTCTGGAAGTTCAACCCCCTGCTCAGGCAGGGTAAAAGCTTTCAAAAGACAGTCAATGCCACCTGGTATCAAACCCACCTAATAGCATGTGTGTTCTCCACAGTAAATAAATAACTCTTTTCCAGGAAGTTACATTTCCCCCACCCCTGAAACTAAGAGATGCAAAGTGGTAGAATTATTTTATTTTGCAGATGGGAAGTTAACCAACAATTTCATCTGTATTTCACATCCACACCCTGTTGCTCCAGAACTGGGTAACTACAGTGATTTGAACATAGACATGGAAGCATATGTTTTTAATCTTTTTTTAATCCTTCTTTTATCCTCCGTTTTTACCCTTCTTTGTTCAAACTGCTACATTTGCCTCTTTTTTAAAGTATTACAGCTTCTGGCTTTAGCACAGGAAGGTAATAACACCACCTGAAAGAAGCAAAAGTAAAAACTCCCTTCTCTGTGTTACCATATGCTTGTCCTGACAAGAGAAAATATATTCTTGACCTAATATAACAGTGCACATTGGCTAGAATCACAGATACTTACGCAGGATTAAAATGTAGTATGCAGTAACAACAACAATGATCTAAGGCAGTAAAAACTTGGATTGTTCAATATCTCGTTCCAAAAACATTCTCTTACTCTGTATTAGTGAGGCAGAGCTCATTTCTATAAATCAGATATTGCCCTGTACTACATGTCCTAGCCATGCACAAGGACTGCCCCGCTCAGATCCTTCCCACCTCCTGCCCAAAGATTTCCCTAGAGATGCCTGTTGACTGTGTGCACAACTGTGCAGGCAACACTACTGACATTTTATAAAGGACTGTATTAATTAAGCATTGTCATAGAAAGAACAAAGACTCTTAGCAATGTTTCCTACCTAGGGAATGTGAAAGATTCCCTATCACATGCAAAATCAATACAACTTTTCTTGCCAGTAATAGAGTCTACACTTGGTTTCCTCTACCAAAATCCAACAATAACTCCCAACTTCGTAGCTGACCTTTACAATCAAGATTCCCCGTCTTCCACTAACAAGACAATGAAAACAAAGAATAGTGAGACAGAACATGACTGACATCCATGTAAAACACATTGCCATAGGACTAAAAACCTACATCGTTCTATTACCATTGTATCATGCTTTAGGAAGCTTGCATTTTAAAGGAAAACAGAAGGATACAGACAAATAATTAACTCTGACAGAAAATAATAATCCATCTACTATTCCATTTTTGCTACTGAAGAGCAAATCTAAAATTACACATGGAATCTCCTATTCTAAACTAAACAGTAATATAATGTCTGAGAGTAAAGCTGAAAGAAAAAAAAACATAAGAAAGTCCTGATAGTCCCAACCCCCATTCTCTCTTTGGATCTGCCTGCTCAAACAGACCAGAAGCAGACAATGAAATTCTTCCCTCCTCCCTTTCCAAGATCAGTGAAAACTGTCAAACTCATGAGCCATAATGTTTCCTAATCTACAGGGGCTGGGAATATAAATTATATTTGCCTAAGGCTGGTCCAGCAGAGCACACTTTTTTGATTGTCACATCCAGTTAGGACAAGCAATATGCTTACAATACAGCTTCTATTTTTGACTAATAAACATGATCTGGTCAAATTTTTAACTGACTAATCCTCAGTATATCTATGCATTAGCTATTTTTCTCTTAAATTGATAACCAGTAAAACAGATTGCCAAATCTAGCCAATCTCCAAAAAACATTCAACAGTGACTCAATTCAGCTAGTTTGGATCATTATGATACAGAATTTGATCTTGCCAGCCTTTTATATCCCTGACAGATACTAACCTGATAAATGGCAAATAAGCCTTAAAGAACTTGCCTTCACTGGGGCATGCCAATGTCCAAGAGCTACACCCACATGTTCAAGCTGAGGGAGGTTTAATGTAGATCTTGTTGGCTTGGCAAGATTGCTGAGTGCTCACCCTCTGCTCACTTCATAGATCTGTCACTACTGTACCTGAACTGCTGAGACTCCATGTCCCAGTTCAACAACACTGATAATGTGCCAACTGACCAGTCAGTGAGGTATTGCATCACACAGCCCTGTTCCCTCTGGTGTTCAGCCTGTAGCTGGCACACACTACAGCACTTTAATTTTATTTTCCTTTCTGGAAAAACTAAAAAGCAATACAGCAAAACACCATTCAAAACTACTTCTGATGCTACTGCAGTTCGAGCTTTAGGATAACACCTATGTTCAAGTATTTATTCTAGAGCAGAAATTCAAGCCTGCTGTGCTGTAACTACAAGAAATAAAGAAAATAAAAACAAACCAAATCTCTTCCAGCATCTCAAGAACAAAACAGTTGGCAAGGAGCTCAGACAATTTCAAGGAATGATGGAATCACTATTTGTTTGCTTTCCTTTCAGTATATACTTTCCTTTCTCTGTGTGGTCATTAGACTTACACTGGTGAAATTTTTAGTAAGCTAATGGGAGAACATACTAATCCAATTATGATGCTGTAGGATTTTCTTAAGATTGCTGAAAGTTGTATTGGTCATGGATAGATGGCTAAGTAATTGGGACTCTTTTTTTCCCACTTTTATTTCATTGAGAAAGCATGGAAGTGGCATTTTGATTGTGACATTTATTTTGCTTTATTCTTCCAGTGAAGAGACATGGCAAAGGTTATGCTTTCAATAAACATTTGAAGAGAAAACAAGTAGGTTTTGCTTTCAGTATTAACTTAATGTTGTGAGATTATACACTGTATTTATACTGTTGACCAGCAAGTAATTTTGTCATAAAAAGCTTGGTATCGTTTCCACTGCAACATTTCAAAAGTCAGCCCAAGTTGTCACTAGTTTATCTGATTTCTGTTTCATTTCCTTTCACTACCATCACCACTTCAGCACCTCGTATTTTTTGTTAGGTATGTCTAAATTAACCACCAAATCATGAAAAAAAAATTATTTCATTTCTTTTATCATCACAGGGTCAGCATTTCACTCTGCAATCACTTCACATTTCCTCCGTTTTCACTGTGGAACAGCCTAATGGTAGACCAGATAATGGGGAAAGCCCTCAGGCACTATTACTATTATGAAATGCACTTTCATGTGTATCCTTTTTGAGGGAGACCCAGTTGATGCAGCAAATGCTGTAAGCTCTCCCTTTCTTCTCCATGTTGTGGAGTGGCTGGTTCCTAACTCCCAGTGCCTTTGCTGGTGGATCATAAAAAGGTCTTCAGGTTCCCTTTCCCATCAATTCTCCAGGTGTGATTCAGCATTGCTTTGAAAAGGGAAGTTTCCAAATCAAAGCTTAAAGGATACACAGCTGAAAGCCCAACAAGCAGGCTGCATTAGAAGGTCTACAAATCTTACTTCTTTATTAATGCAAATCAGCTACACCTGCCATACAGAGTCACTGGGTCAAAGACTGCAGTGGTTGATATATTAAATACCTGAGGACAACCATCAAGTGCAAACTGATTGTGAACCTCACAGTGTGCACAACATAACCAATGCATTTGAAAAGCACGTAATGCTGAGCTTAAACTGTATTTTCATTTTAAGACAGCATGTGAAAACATTGAAGAATTCTGCCCCTCATTCCAAGAATTATCATTCCTTACAAACAAGGGGCTTATGTTTCATTCTGAAAACAGTACTTCTGGCCCCATTTTGAGACAGTCAAGTGCTGCTCTGATCAGATTTACAAGGTCCACATAACCTTAGCAGCTAAGTCCCATTATCAAAAGCTACTTAGGAACAATTCTCAAATACATCAGATTCTCTAACATGATTTTGGAAAGTCAGACAAGGTAGGTAATTCCCTGTATTACCATGGACTCTGATCTCATTTGAAAATAGGACTTTACACCTGTTAGTTTTAATATGTGGTAGGGTGTAAATACCTTTTTACAGCACTGGGGCTTTCTCTTGGAAAGCTTAAGCCACTGTGAATCAACAATGACACTTAGAGACTTAAATTACAGGATGTCCCTCTCTTACAAATGGAAAGTAGCCAAGAACTTTACTACAGTTCTTGCAGATGAAAAGGGCACCTGCTGCTTAACTACCACTGGAGTCAACCCCTGCACATGCAGACAGCAATCCTCGGGGTTACTGGAGAAGTGGACGGTCCACATCGGGAAAACGAGGCCTACTGCCCCTCAAAGCAGTGGGCAACCCATGCCACTTGCCCACAAGGGTTCTGTGGCTGCCAATTTTCAGCAAGGCACCATCTCAGCTTTGATCCAGACAGCGACAGGAAAGCTCACCCCAGGGAGTGCCTGCACCCCACCACCATGTCCCACGGCCGCCTCTTGCCGGACTTAGCCATGCCCCCTCACCTTCCACCAGCTCGTCCAGGCTGGTGAGCTTCTGGCTGCCATCGATAGTGTAGATGGTGCGGACCCCTTGGGGCAGGTTCACGTTGTCCGACAGGGAGCGGGTGAGCTCCACCAGGAGGGCGTCGAAGGAGCGGAAGCGGTCGGGGGAGATGGCGTACACCAAGCCCTTGAAGTACCTGTCCCCGTTGCGGTAGAAGCGGGCTTTGCGCGCCTTCTTCTCCGAGCTGAGCGCCTGCAGGGTGCGGGTCCGGTAGAGGCTGCAGTGTGCGCTGTGCGCCGGGCTGGGCACCAGCCCATTGCCCCTCGGCCCCGCGCCGCCGCCGGACCCGGAGCCGCCGCGCCGCGGCCCGGAGCGCTGCTGCCGCTTGTCCCGCTCCTCGAAGTGCTCCAGCTCGATGCTCCGGTTGCTCGCCATGGGGAGAGAGCTGCCTGCCCGCCCCTCCCGGCTCTCCGCTACTGGCTGCTACGCCTGCCCCCCGCGCTCGCAAGGGCTCCGGCCGCCTAATTCAGCATCGCGCCCGGCCCCGCTCGCCGGGAGGGCTGCGGGTGAGCGCGGCGCCCGACCCGCCCCGCAACCGCAGCCGCCGCTACCCGCTGCTGCGCCCGCCGCCGCGCACAAAAGCATCCCTCATGCCCCGGCACGGCACCTCCCGACTACAGGCGATGCCGGGAGGGGAGCGAGAGGCTCGGGGGAGCCCCGCGGCCGCGCCCCCGCGCCGTGCCCATGCAGGCTCGCACAATGCTCGGGTACCCTCCGCAGCCTTTCCCCTGCTGGCTCCGCCGGGCAGCGGTGGCCGGGGCCGGAGCGCCTATGCCGCCAGCTCCGGCGCTGCTCCTGGCTCCGGTCCTGGCGCGGGGGCACCGGGACCGCCAGTCGGCGCGGGGAGCGGCGCAGCCCCGCCGGCTCCTCGGCGGGCAAGGGCGCTGCTGTCGCCCGCCTCGGAAGGGAAACAGCCGCAGCGGATCCTGCGGGAAGAGCGCGCTGGCGGCCCGGCCGCTGGCGGTGGAACGGGAGCTGGCGCTGGAGCGGGCGGGGCTCCCGCCGGGCCCCCGAGCCGGGCGGGCGCGGGGGCGGCGCCATCTCGGCTCCGCGTCCGGCGCGGGGGCGGTGCCGTCCGCGGCGGCGGGATCGGGCGCAGGGAGGGGTGGGAGAGGCTTGTGGGGGTGAAGCGGGATGGAAAAGGGGGTTCTTCTAGGGAAGAAGAACGAATTTGGAGGAGCAGCTTTTCCGCAGGGGCAGCGCTGCCCTTCTCGCGGCGACTCTGGCGGGAGCGGTCCATGGACACCCCCACAGGCGCACCAGCGGAGCTGCCTGCCGGCTCTCTCCTGGCTTCGCTTGGGCTCAGTCACTAGGTTAAAACGCTAAAAATGCCCCTAGGGCTCTTTCTGTATGGCCTTCTGCCTAAAATACATCCCCTGGGACGAAAATGACGCATCCCTGTCATTTGCCGAATGCAGAAACTGTTTCACAAGGGCGCGTAATGATAGGTCATGGGATAATGGCTTCATACTGAAAGATACTGGGTGTAGATTAAGTATTAGGGCGAAATTTTTTACTGCGAGGGTGGTGGGGCCCTGGAACAGGTTGCCCAGAGAAGTTGTGGTTGTTTTATCCCTGAAAGTATTCAAGGCCAGGCTGGATGGGGCTTTGAGCCACCTGGTCCACTGAAAGGTGCACCTGCCCGTGACAGAGGAGTTGGAACTAGATCATCTTTAAGGTCTCTTCCAACCCAAACCGTTCTGTGATTCTATCATTCTTTGATTATCCTTTTGCATTTGTGCACGCCACTGATGCGTTCTGAGAAACCAAATAACCCCATTCATACAGTCTAAACCTCCCAAATGTACTGCAGCCCACAGTTCATGACTTCCCCAGGGATCTTATCAGTGCTCCCAAGGTTGCTCAAGTCAAATTCACTTTTGGTAGAAATTGCCAACAAATGCATTGAAATAGATGCAATCTCATTTTTCTTTTACTTATATTCAACTAATACAGAATATATTTTCTTGGCATAACGATTACGAAAAAAAACATAGAAGGCATTTACAACTACCTACAGGTTTTCATTTTTTTTTAGGTCTTGCATTGGAAGGTTCCAGTTGTGTTATACCATTACAGGTGGTCACAGTTTCTGCTCTTTTGCCCAATATTCTTCTGCTCTTTTGCCCAATATTCTTTACCACACTTCTGAGGGTGGTACACTTTTTATGTTTAGAAATACCAATAAAATCAAGCACTGTCTCACTATTATTACTAGGCTTCTTACAAAGTAGATCAAACAACTAGCTACAATATTCCTAAACACAATACATGGAAAACATCTGTGAATTTCACTTTTTATTGAAGTGCCAACTTATGCGATGCTTGGAAACATTCACAAGCAAAAAGAAGTGGTAAGCCATGGTGCTGGATTATCTTCTCCAGTGGTAAAATCAAGAAAAGGAACAGAATGAGGGGGGAATTTTGTTACATCAGGGAATGAATACACCTACGAAGATTAGATATGCAGGTCTTGCCTAGGAACCAAGACCCAGCAGCCACAAAATTGTAGGAATCAACTTTCTAGACTGGTTTTGAAATGGTTTCTCATCCTGTTTGCAGGCAAAGTTACACAGACAAAGTTCAAACTCACTTGTGTAACTTGTCTCCAAAGTGTATTGGTCTTAGCTGTGAGGCTGTATTTTTTTCCAAATGGTACCACACTACATGAGCCTTTGCAGAACAAGTCACATTACTTAGTTCAAACCTCAGCTGAAGGTTATTTGGACTAACCTTTTTCAATTTGCTCAGAAGCAGACCACAAAAGCTCATGGAAGTTTAATCCCCCCTTGTACACACCTTCTGTCTGCTCCCAGCTCTTAACTATTGCCTACTGACCTCAGTATAGTGCTCAACTATGTGTAGAGGTCTCCTGCTGAATAAAATGTAAAATATATATATACATATGTGTGTGTGTGTGTGAATTTAATATACTAACTGTGTCTATAACTGCATTTAGGTTGGAGAATTCAGTGCCAGGGTAAGCATTTCTTTGATTTCAAGTTGTTTTGCTGGGTGGTAGGATGTGTCATGTGCAGGACTTGCTCTGACTTCTGAACTCTCTGGCTAGAGATGGGATAGAAGGAATGGAATTTTATACAACCTCTGGTAAAGTAAAACTAAAAGGGAATTCTTCAGCTTTTACCAGGAAAATTCTCTCTCCTCATCAAAGGGAATTCCTACTACAGAGTTTTCAAAGTCTGTACAGCAACTGTTTTTTATGGAGCATATAAATATGAAATTGACTTCTGGCCTGTAAAACTGAACTACTTCTATATTAAGAGACTGTTTGCAGAGAGGTTACAGTTAGATCTGCATGTGTAACCGCCAAGGAAATGCCTGGTGACACCTCAAACATGGTCCTACAACTTGTGCTCTTTCTTTTTAGGTTCTCCTCAGATGTTGTGTGTATTTTTAATAAGCTCTGCAAGCCCCCATTAAGAATGGTTCACAGTGCTTCCATTTGTGTGTATGCTTTGCCTTTTCCTTGCAGCCTTATTTCCCCTAGGGAGTTATCTGTAGTCAAACAGGGAGGATTTAAAAGACTTTCAAAGATGAGGAATAAAAACCCAAACTAATCCCATATGCAGCTGGATGACATTTGTTGTTATACATTAGAAATTTAGTGTGATTAACATGCAGTTCTGTATGGAACTGAGCTATGCATTCCCATTATCTTCTTCCAAAATAGAGTTGACAATTAGTAGTTCACTTAACAGCAAGCAATGTTACATGTATAAATGATACCTTGCTTATTAACATAAATCTCCAAACACCATAAAAATGTGATTATCGTTCATTCTTGTGATATTCTTATTCTATAAACGTACGTTTCCTATTTGAAAAGAATAGAGCTTCCAGGTTTCATGTCCATCTAATTAATCAGTTCTCCCACCTGTCTTTGTTTGGTTTTTTTGCTTTATTGTGGTAAGCATAATGAATTCTTTGTTTAAATCTCTTCCTGCACCTAGAAGGCCTCCTATGTGGTTTGGTTGGTTGGTTGATTTTTTGCTTTGAAATAAGCAAGACCTGTAAGAAATTTCCAAAAGGAAATGAAGAAAACTTTGCCATCACATGCGATGTCTTTTCTTCTTCTGTTACCTGAACTCCCTACCTTCCTGCTTGTAATCAGTGAAATTCAAGTCATGTAGCACATTTAATAGGATTGATAGGTGAAATTCAGTTCAGAATCAGAGTTTACACTGGATGGTTTTAGAAAAGCAATCATATATCTGACCTTTTCATTTAGCCCATCGATTTCATCTTGGAAATGATAATGCCTAATGTTGCTGAAGAAATGAAAAAAACACCATAAAAGTCTGTTGAATCAAGATTTGCTATATGAAAAACATTATTGGAATAACAAAATATTTACTTGCCACACTAAAGACACCAAATTTGTGTATTTAAACAATTAGATGTTTATTTGCAATGATTTGTTTTCAATTGTGAATGTTAAAATGCTTTTAAAATATTTATACATTAAAATCTCTCAGCACCCCTGTGAGATGCTCTGCCCTACTTTATAGATATATAAAATGGGAAACCAAAAATTTAAGCAACTCGACCAAGTAGCAGAGAAATATTTCATCATAGGTGGCATAAGAAGGATCTTCAGTCCTTGGTGAGATGGCAGTGTGGCCAGGTGGCCAGGAAGGCCAATGGCATCCTGGTTTATATAAGAAATAATATGGCCAGCAGGACCAAGGCATTGATTGACCCCCTGTACTTGGCAATGGTGAGCCCACACCTCAAATCCTGTGTTCAGTTTGGGACCCTCACTACAGGAAAGACATTGAGGTGCTGGAGCAGGTCCAGAGAAGGGCAACAGAGCTGGGGAAGGGACTGGAGCACAAGTCTGATCAGGAGCAGCTGAGGGAGCTGGGAGTGTTTAGCCTGGAGAAAAGGAGGCTCAGGGGGGACCTTATAGCTCTCTACAATGGCCTGAAAGGAGGTTGTAGCAAGGTGGGGGTCAGTCCCTTCTTCCCATGTGATAGGACAAGAGGAAATGGCCTCAAGTTGCAGTTGCACCAGGAAAGGTTTAGATTGGATACTAAGAAAAAATTCTTCACCAAAAGGGTTGTCAAGCATTGGAACAGGCTGCCTGGGGAAATGGTGGAATCACCATTCCTGGAGGTATTTAAAAGATGTGTAGATGTGGCACTTGGGGACATGCTTTAGTCTTTCTGCACTCCAGTAAAAATCAGTTCCTAACTGATCACCCACTCATATTGGATCAGAAATGTCCACATTAAATAAATTGAGTATGAGTGTCTATGATATAAATAAATGCCCAACTCCCAATGCCTTTACTGGTGGATTATATAAAGGTATTCATGTTCCTTTTCCATCAGATTCTCCAGGTGTTACAGAAA